ATATGTATTCATATTCCTATAGTTGGTATGGTATTCACTTGTTGTTCGTGAATTACCAGTATTTTTAAGTGTTGTAGATGATGGCCGTACCCCATTCTAAAGGGCGGAGAGTCAAGCACTTCCCCCGCTGTCGTCTGGTCCACGCCAAATAATTAATCTGGCTTCTGGCTACACGCTTGCTGTCGAGGATGCACGCTGTCCTATCACCTCTGCCGCTAGACACACAATGCAGGCAACAGAGAGTTATCTATATCTCTCAGCACCCCGACGTCTACATCTACAGGTGCTCACGACGACCGCATACACACTGTAACTCTATCGGCATACAACATCTTTAGAGAGCGACCAGTCAACACTCAAGCAGTGTCGAGAAAAGTCGACCTCTCGCTTTGACACCCCAGCCGAGGACCTGACTGTGTGCATAGACCGCGTGTTTTCAAGGATTCAAGAACGTTGGACAGCGTTTCGCCAATTGACTTTTCGAAACAAGAAAGGAGCCAGTGAATTCGATTGGGACCAGCGACAAATGAACTTTCGTGAATGGTGGTGCCTTATTGTGGCCATGTGCAGTGACATTTGACTTTCATGCATAGCTATTAATTAATTCTACATGGTATTTGAATAATATTTCATGGTGTTTATGCTTTGTGGTTATACGAAATAACACAGGATCATTAACTTATTCTTTACCAGGTAAATACATTTTTAACTGTAAAAGTATTCGTTGTTTTCGAAATCGTTATAACATTTGAAAATTGATTACAATTTTATATATATAATGATCGATCCTGTTTTACTTCCATTATGTTTATTGTGATTGTATTTTATATCTCAGACCGGAACTCATGCTTAGATCTTCCGAGCTGTGGGCAGCTCTTGTCCACAGGCGGAGGATGTTATAAGGTTAAAAATGCATCTCAGAAACGAATGATAATAAATAGAACCCATTAGATATATTTCGTGACAGAACTTGTAATTGGAAAGGAATCAATAGAGAAAGACATTTCACATTTATCATTGGATTGGTCTCTGGCTATTATCCATGAGTTAATGAAACAAATGGGGAATTACAAGGTATAATCCATTTGGAGCTTCGGAGCGAGTCACGAAATCAATAGAGAGATGAGCAATCTGGCACGTAGGTTCTGGTATTTTTCCGATGGTGACACACATGAGTTCATGGTCAGATATAAACTTGTAACGAATCAAATGGAGATATTGAGACATGTGACAAGGACAGGTCAGGCTCGAACACTATAAAATGATACCCTCAACATAAGGAGAGTGGTGCGCGGTTTACAGTCGATCGAGTCGAATCCCGATCGTTCTAAGTTTCCACCAGCTAGTGACGAGCCTGGCCAGTCTGATCCTGTTCTGTAGTGATAGATGGACTGAGAGTAAGTAAAACTATGTGAGTATAAACTGGTGTTGCGTTTCTTTATTATGCGGGTGTGAATGCTGATAGAGACAACTTGGAGTAAGGGTCATTAGGCCAATCACTCCTTGACGGAGCCGAGCCGTGGTGGACAAGGCGAGGGCAATGTCCTGGCTTAAGTGACCACAAGGACCAGGAACGGCAATACATTTAGTAACTGTAGCAGGGTCGCGCTGGACCCCCAAAACCAGTTACGACAATAGGGTTGGGTTTTCCTTTTGAGTGACTTCTGATCTTAAAGCAGTGTCAACTTTGGGAGTTTTTTTTAAGTTCAGGGAGGGTGTAACCCTTTGTAGTGACTTTCTGGTGGCTGAATGTGATTACATTTGTGACTTCGGGTGAGTTCACGTACTAATATCCCAGATGGCATCAGTAAGGGATTTTGCCGAACTAGGCCTTCGTCTCTGGTGTTTGGGCCTTGCCATATCTTTTTCACCAAAGGGTTTGATGCTCGTCCCCAGAACGACACTATTGCTTGCTCTCTTCTTAGTTGCTGATATGGTCCGAGAAGGCTGATTTGATGGTTGAAGTTTTGTGCTCTTTGATTCTGGTGTTGATGGTGCTTGATGTTTTACCTAAGTAGGGTTTTCCACAGTTACAATCAATTTTATAAACTACACCCTTTGGTTCTTGGCGTGTGGTTGTGGTTCTGCCGTTGGCTGTAAGTAGGGTATTGAGGGAGGTGGGACTGATGAAACAGGTGTCAATGTCTATACCGAAACGTCGCCTTTACAGTAATTAAAGAAGTTGTTATCCATAAATTGTGTCTACTTTGTGTACCAATTAATGACAAACCTAACAATCAGTAAAGTTTAACAACAGAGTGTCTTTATTTTTATCACGATATGCTGCACGTGATTTCCAAACTTTACACGCTAATCTATGCTGTCACATGTGATTCCTTCATGACACAACACAACATAAAAATATGTTCGTGTGTGCATCGAACCAATCTAATGTTTCTTGCATATGGGTAATTCTTCAAATATTAGCCAACATGTATGGTATCCGTGTGTCTTTTGTCGGTGAGTATATATATCATAAAAATGGGCAATGAAATTGGCAACAAGTATAAAAGACGTATTGTTTAAGGTTGGATACGGTTTTATATGGCAAAACAAGAATATAGAATTCAATGCAGAATTTTTAAAACATTTACTCAAAGATTAAAAGATATATATCTACAAAATTGGCCAGAAAAACAACAACATCTGCATCAAGTAAATGTAATTACTATTCAATTGTTAAACGTTACATACATGTTGGTTGGTTGGTTTGTTGTTTAACGCCGCACTCAGCAATATTCGAGCTATATGACGGCGGTCTGTAAATAATCTAGTCTGGACCAGACAATCCAGTGATTGATATCATGAGCATCAATCCACGCATTTGGGATCGATGACATGCATCAACCAAGTCGACCTGACCACCCGATCCCGTTAGTCGCCTTTTACGACAAGCATAGTCACCTTTAACGGCAAGCATGGGTTGCTGAAGACCTATTCACATGTACATGTACGTACAGAACACTAATTTGGAGGGGGGAATATACAGTCAAGTCCTGTTTATCCGACACGATTGGTTGCATATGATTATATCGGACTAACGAGTATGTCGGATAAACGAAATCGAGTTGCATCAACGTTCGTGATCGAAAATCGGACAACTACACGATAGATAACGATACATACATGTTGTAATAAAAAAATGAAAAATGAAATTTTCATATTGTTATGTTACATTGTAACTAGTGCCGCAAAGCTCAAGAAAGCTGCTTTCTTACTGGCTAATTAAGACGTCCCGTCAGTCATTTTATTGGTCGGCCATAGTTCGCGAAAGGTCATTTTGACTTTACCTGTAATGGGATGTCCTCAGCAGGAGCGAGAACTTGTATCTGATTTTTATGAGATTGAATTATATAAGCATGTGATTGTTTTAAATCCTAATTTGTTTATTTAAAGCACTAATTGTTCATTGTTAAGCCAGCTTATCTCTGCAGCCACTGTTATATGCTGCTATACCAGCAGACTCGTCTCGCAACAAAACACGGGCTGTAGAGACATGTAGGATAAGACTGGCACGTTTTCGATACTTATCACATGGTTTGTTATTTGAAAAAGGAAGAAATATAAACACGACAAGGGAAATGGGAATGTGCGATCTTTGTAATTTAAATGCAGAGGAAGATGAACATCACTTCATTCTTGTATGTCCAGCTATAACAAAAGTTGTATGTCAACTAATACATAAATTAATTTGCATCTTTGTTAAAAAAAGTATGAACTTTGACACACTGCAGAATCTATCCATGTTTATTTATTATGAAATATTATATAGAAAAAAATGGAACCTTACGTAATGTATATTAACTGTTATATCATAATATTTATAGCACCCCCCCCCCCCCCCCACACACACACACACCACCACCACCACCACTACAATGGGTACAATGCATGTGTGGTGTCCCCCGCCGTGATATTGCTCGAATATTGTTAAAAGCGGCGTAAAACCGTACTCACTCACTCTTGCCCATAAGGGAAGCTGGATAGAGCTTCGTTACCGTTCTGTCATGCTCGTGGGAATTACAGTGTTTCTATAAATAACTCTAAAAGCATTTCATTGGTCGCCGGTACTATATCCACGTGCTGACTTGCACACATAACGAGAACGAGAGACACTGTACTATATTGGATTCTGATTCCGAATAACTAGTTGCACATGTACTTATTCCACAGGTACTTATTCCACATCCACCCATGCATCATTATGTGGTGGTATGCGTGTCTGGCGTTGTGTAATGTTTGAAACAAGATAAATGAGCAATTTAGCGACGTGCCGTGAAAAGGTCGCCTGTTTATAAACTGGTTCTACTGTATGTACGCGCCGCAAGTTTACCGGCTTTTGCACTTGGTAGACAGGAGCCCAGTCAGGATTTTTGACGGGGGGATGCATTCTTTTGGATTCAGCCGCTAGAAATGTGGTTATAAGTGAGATCAAGAGACGTTTGCACTAAATTTGATTTTGGGTTAGAAAGAGAATAACCAAAGAAAACTCGGAATATTACTGTATTATTATGTAACGGTATTATTTCGTTTCAAAATACATATAGATCTAAGTAAATTTCAATCAAATACGGCATTTTTATTATTTACGGGGCAATATTGAGGACAGACCGGCTTTTCTTTAGACAACGAGAAACAATTTAACAAAATAAAATCAATTTGTTTGAAATGAAAATATGTTTTTAAGTTCCTAACAGAAAAGAAAAATAATTATCAGCCTCTTTGAGATAAAGCAAGTATTTGGTTTAATCAAAATCGGGCTGTGTGAGCATTTAAAAACCTCTTAAAAATCTTGAAGCGAGAGTTTGATCATGACTCGATGATATTCACCCAAATAACCTGCACAAAACTAAACTACATCTCACGTGCGTGGAAATATACAGTGAATCGTTCACTTGACTCTGTCGCTTAATGACCTTTGCCCCCAAACGTCACACTTTTCAGGTCACAGTGGGCCTGTCCCATTTCAACCAATGACAATTGACTACCGGTATCACGTGATTTGTTCGCCCGTCAGAAAAGTATAAAAAGGCTGACGATCACCACTGTCGTCCTCTCTTAGACTTGACACGTGCGTTGTACAGTGCTCAATATCTACAATGGCCCAGAAACCACCATACAAAGTCGGTATGTGTCATGACAGTGATACCAACTGATGCATTTGAATATATTTATCTATATAACATCACTTCTGCGCCGATAGGAAGTGTTAAGACCCGTCTGTATGTTGTCTAGCCTGCTTGACTTACCTGTGTTGTCGATGTGAAGTGGGCCTTTCCTCTTCAAACGTTTTGATTGTTGCACATAAATCGCCAGTTTTAAAATATATGTATTCAAAGCATTGGCGTTGGATCATAGAAACTGTTCAGCGACGATCGCCTACACTGTTATTCACATACAGTTCAGAATAGATCTCCAAGGCGGTAGATACTAATTGATTTACTCGATCTCGGCTGGTTAGCCAAACAGCTGGGCCCTGACTGGGGATAGTAAACAGTCCTACTCGGAGGGGTCTGTTGGAAGTGTCCCTTTTCTTCCAGTTAGCCAACCTACAGAGTGTGTCAGCAGGTGTAGGATCGTCAGTTTGGTTGAAGTGAATCGTTACTTAAAGGTCCACTGTTCTCTGAATAATGCATTGCCCTACATTATAATTTGTCGTGTCTATTCACGAGCATGCATGTGTACGTGTCTCCTGCCCAGCGGTCACGATGTACAGTAATATTGATATGCAGACTTGGTATGATATATTAAGTGCTTTTGAATTATGAATTACTCTGTCACAGATGTCACAGATGCTTATAGAATGTGTACTGTCTGTTGACTGTCTGTTGACTTTTTGTTGATTATGCATTGTGTGTACCTTTGAACAGGATGTAGGTGGACATCTTTTTCACTCATCGTCCTGTGATTAGGGGGAAGATTGTTGGTGTTGTATGGGGGAAGATTGTTGGTCACTTCGGGGAAGAAATGTTGGTGTCACTAGGGGGAAGATTGTTGGTGTTGTATGGGGGAAGATTGTTGGTCACTTCGGGGAAGAATGTTGGTGTCACTAGGGGGAAGATTGTTGGTCACTTCGGGGAAGATTGTTGGTGTCACTAGGGGGAAGATTGTTGGTGTCACTAGGGGGAAGATTGTTGGTGTTGTATGGGGGAAGATTGTTGGTCACTTGGGGGAAGACTGTTGGTGTACCTACAGACTCACATTAATACATGAGCTGACATGGCTAGTACCGGTACACATATCAAACTCTTTTCTAAGCCCCACGAAAGACTATATCCATGACATGCAGTTGTCTCTTCTGTCTTTTCAGCCGACATCGGCCAGGCGGAGATGGGGCGTAAAGCTCTCGACATCGCGGAGAACGAGATGCCAGGGCTGATGATGATGAGGAAGGTGTATGGACCAAAGAAGCCCCTAGCGGGGGCCCGCATCGCTGGCTGTCTCCACATGACCGTGCAGACCGCAGTCCTCATTGAAACACTGGAGGTTCTTGGAGCTAAGGTAAGACTTCAGCTCTCATAGAAACACAGCAACTTGTTTTGAGTCTGTGCGGTAAGATATAGTTCAAGCTGTGCTCACAATTGCGTGGATAGATGCTCATGATATCAATCACTGGATTGTATGGTCCAGACTCAATTATTTACAGACAGCCGTCATTAAGCTGGAATATTGCTAAGTGCGGCGTAAAACAACAAACAAACAAACATCAAGCTGTGCTCTTGTGCACAATGCTTGTTCAGGTCCCCACCTCACATACATCATGCTTGTTCAGGTCCCCACCTCACATACATCATGCTTGTTCAGGTCCCCACCTCACATGCATCATGCTTGTTCAGGTCCCCACCTCACGTGCATCATGCTTGTTCAGGTCCCCACCTCACATGCATCATGCTTGTTCAGGTCCCCACCTCACATGCATCATGCTTGTTCAGGTCCCCACCTCACATGCATCATGCTTGTTCAGGTCCCCACCTCACATGCATCATGCTTGTTCAGGTCCCCACCTCACATGCATCATGCTTGTTCAGGTCCCCACCTCACATGCATCATGCTTGTTCAGGTCCCCACCTCACATGCATCATGCTTGTTCAGGTCCCCACCTCACATGCATCATGCTTGTTCAGGTCCCCACCTCACATGCATCATGCTTGTTCAGGTCCCCACCTCACATGCATCATGCTTGTTCAGGTACCCACCTCACATGCATCATGCTTGTTCAGGTACCCACCTCACATGCATCATGCTTGTTCAGGTCCCCACCTCACATGCATCATGCTTGTTCAGGTCCCCACCTCACATACATCATGCTTGTTCAGGTCCCCACCTCACATACATCATGCTTGTTCAGGTCCCCACCTCACATACATCATGCTTGTTCAGGTCCCCACCTCACATACATCATGCTTGTTCAGGTCCCCACCTCACATACATCATGCTTGTTCAGGTACCCACCTCACATACATCATGCTTGTTCAGGTCCCCACCTCACATACATCATGCTTGTTCAGGTCCCCACCTCACATACATAATGCTTGTTCAGGTCCAGTGGTCAAGCTGCAACATCTTCTCTACACAAGACTTTGCAGCTGCTGCCATCGCTAAGACCGGCGTCCCCGTGTACGCATGGAAGGGGGAGACAGACGAAGAATACGTGTGGTGCATTGAACAAGTGAGTAGAGGTTCTCCTACATGTACAACATGTTGGCTAACATGTGTTAAAGAGGGAGTGCTCTTATTAACCTGTTGAACCCCGTGGGGATTTCTGGGGTAGAATATAGGTCACAACAACCTATGCTTGTCTCCCGATGGGGATTCTGGGTAAGAATATAGGTCCCAGCAACCTATGCTTGTCTCCCCATGGGGAATCCAGGTAAGAATATAGGTCCCCAGCAACCTATGCTTGTCTCCCCATGGGGAATCCGGGTAAGAATAAAGGTCCCAAGCAACCTATGCTGTCTCCCCATGGGGAATCCAGGTAAGAATATAGGTCCCAGCAACCTATGCTGTCTCCACATGGGGAATCCAGGTAAGAATATAGGTCCCAGCAACCCATGCTTGTCTCCCTGTGGGGAATCCAGGTAAGAATCAACACATTCTGTAACACCACGTATGATTTGTGTTTGTCCAGGAGCATGTAGAGACTGCTGCAACCTATGGCTGGTTGTTTGATTTATGTCCTCGTCTTCTACTCTTCAGGGGCGGTCGGGTAGCCTAGTGGTTAAAGCGTTTGCTCGTCACGCTGAAGACCCGGGTTCGATTCCCGACATGGGTACAATCAGTGAAGCCCATTTCTGGTGTGCCCCCGCCGTGATATTGCTGGAATATTGCTAAAATCGGCGTAAAACCTCACTCACTCACTCACTCTACTCTTCAGAGTCTGGTTTTCCCTGATGGTTGGTTGTTTGATTTATGTCCTCGTCTTCTACTCTTCAGACTCTGGTTTTCCCTGATGGTAAACCCCTCAACATGATCCTGGATGATGGTGGTGACCTCACAAATCTCGTACACGAGAAATACCCACAGTATCTTAAAGGTAACAACTAGAAATGACCAGTCAGTAATGTTTATGAACTGAAAATAAACACTTGGAGGCATGTAAAAATAGGGTACTATCAACCTTCAAACATATTTATCTTGTTCCTTAATAAGTAAAGTCAGGGCATGGTGGACTTGATCGTCTGAGGTGCTTCAATTTGTTTGTGCAGAGTTGTATGTAGATTCAAATTCTGGTTTGCTCTGATTATGTTTCGGGGTTTGTCAGCACTTTACACTTGTTCATGGGTTTCACCAAATTGGTAAATGTCTGAGACCTGCATCATTTCCTGCCACATGAAGCTGACACACAGTGATATACGGTTATAAATGACAAAACCACTGTCACTCTTTTGGGCTAGACTTATTAACATTCAGGTACAAGGTTACTACCCTAGTGGTGACGATGATCATGATGATGGTGATGGTGATGATGGTGATGATGATGATGATGATGATCATGATGATGGTGATGGTGATGATGGTGATGATGATGATGATGATGATCATGATGATGGTGATGGTGATGATGATGATGTGTGTTACTCTGCAGGCATCAGGGGTTTGTCCGAGGAAACCACAACCGGAGTCCACAACCTGTACAAGATGATGGCAGATGGACGCCTCAAATGCCCAGCCATAAACGTTAATGACTCCGTTACCAAGGTAAGGTTACATGGCATCAAATCATCGGGGCTATGTCTTGGATTATAGTTACATTCAAAGTACTACTTTAAAGATGAATCATTTGCCAGAATCTATTGTCAGTACATGTACTTAGAACAATTAAAAGGAGTTCAGAAGTCAAGTGAGTTTATGTCATGGTCTGTTTGTCTGCTGTGTCATTATCTTCTCATTGGAAACCACAAAATAATCGAAGCTGAATTTTCACCTGTTCAAACCAATGATGATGCCCCAATTCATTAGCAATTCCAAAAGGATTTTCAACATGGCTGCCATGACAGCCGTTTGGCAAATACTATTCATTCCTCATACCCAGTCATTTAGATTCAACACATTGTCCACTTAAATGATGAAAGCTTATTTTGTTCTCGATGTTTGAATTTGATTTTCAATATGGCCACCCTGGCAGCCATATTGAATAAACAGGTTACCTCCCTTAACTGATCTTTTCCCACAAAACTCAGTGTGGTTGTGTTCTGTATTGCAGAGCAAGTTCGACAACTTGTACGGTTGCCGTGAGTCACTCGTTGATGGAATCAAGAGAGCCACGGATGTGATGTTGGCAGGGAAGGTTGCCTGCGTAGCTGGGTATGGGGATGTCGGCAAGGGATGTGCCCAGGCTCTCCGTGCCTTCGGGGCACGTGTGATGGTCACTGAGGTTGATCCCATCAACGCATTGCAGGCAGCCATGGAAGGTACGTTTTTAAAAACACATGTTCTGGGCCACAGAAACTCCGAAGTATGATTTTGTCAACTCGGCTAAAGTCTAGAGCCAATAATAATGAATAAATGCAAAAATAGAAAAGTGTAAAAATTCAGTTACACAATAAAATTCTGCAACCCTGTGGAAACGTTGGTTGCAATGGGTCTCAACCACTCTGTAGGAAGAGGTGACCTAAATGGATTGTGTGGTCAGACTTGGTAACCTTGTTGATAGTGTCATTGTTGATGTGGCTGCTTGTCCAGCACTGGTCAAGCCCAGATTTGTGGCAATCATTGAATATTGCTGACTACAGCATAAATGATCGAACAAAAGCTTTTTGAATATTAATTCAAGTAAAATTACAAATTTATACTTTTTTGCATGTTGCACAAATTTTCAGCAGGTCGTCTGATATTAGTGGTGGTGGTGGAGGGGGAGAATGGTTAATTTGTAGTGTAGAGTTGCCCCCCTTAGGCGAGCCAGAAACCAGTTCTGTTTTAATGGAAGTGGTAAATGTCTATGGTTTCTATCCTCCCAGACCAGTGTTACTGAAGAACCAGAGCTCCAGATAAGCTTTTGGTGTTGTGGGTATTTTACGCATGCATTTTAAAATCATTTGGTATCAGTAATTCTATCTGGGTATTCAAATTTCTGTTACCCACTAGTTTTTACACATGTGGGTATTCAGGTTAAATATTTAACAAGGCTATTCATCTAGTCCCTGCAAACTGGTTTCATGTGGGTTAGAGAGTTTTATAGGACTTCACAAATACCACCATACTTCCACAAGAAAGTGTGATGGCAAATGATCATGATGTAACTGTCATCATGGAGTTTGGCAAGGTTGACGGAATGCCCGTTTATAATTTCAAAATAAGTTGCTGATTCGCTAATAGAATATGCAGGGCTACTTCACCATATTTTGATGATACGCACACGTTTTATTTTTGTAGCGTATCTGTAATGTTCGTTCCGTATTTGATACGCTTGGATTTTATTTTACTGCGTATTTCTGCATTTCTGATGCGTAATTTACGCAGATACGCAGCTTATCTGTAGCTCTGAGTACTGATCAGAAGGGCATTAAACCAAACCTTCTCACACTGATATTGCCTCCCTGGCTGACAGGATTACCCCCCTTGTAGACACTGTGCCACATGTGTGTGTGTTTGTGCTTCAGGTTTCCAGGTAACAACGATAGAGGAAGCTGTCAAACAAGCCCGCATCTTTGTGACGGCCACCGGGTGCAAGGGCATCATTCGACCCAACGACTTTGACAACATGCTGGAGGACACCATCGTGTGCAACATTGGCCACTTTGACTGTGAAATTGATGTGAAATATCTGAACGAAAACTGTGCCAAGAAAGAAGAAGTCAAACCTCAGGTATGGACAAAAGTGCCCTCTGTGTAGGGGTGTGGTCATCAGCGCCACCTGTGCTGGTGTGTGGGGCAGTGTTTGAAATAATTATGAAAACCAACAAGACAGTCGGGCAGGTGACCCTTAAATTTTGCCTGCCCGTCTTCAAAGTTACCTGCCCGAATTCAGACATTATGAATATTGAAAAATAAGAGACAAATCACGTCTTGATTTGATGCAAACAATTATTTGATAATTTGTAAGGAGTTATAATAAAACTGAATATGTAAGTTGGCTTAAGATTATGTCAGTCGGGCATGTAGAGGAAAATTTCATTCAGTCTGACAGAAAAGTCTCCAGCCATGGGCAGGCGGGCAGGTAGTTCTTTCGGACACTGGCGTGGTGGCCAGTGCCACCTGTGGAGGTGTGTGTACATCTGTGACTCCGTTAATGCATGTCATCCTATCCCAATTACGTGCATTGATGCTCAGGGTGTACATCACTAGACTCTCTGCCCCAGACTTGATTATTTACAGCTTGATGTAATGCACCTGAAATATTGCTGACTTGGCATGAAACAACTAACAAACAAACGGTGCGGTCCGTGAATTCTAGTTTTGTGTTCTCTGCTATTGCAGGTTGACAGGTATGAAATGAAGAGTGGCCGTCACATCATCTTGCTGGCAGAAGGTCGTCTGGTGAACCTGGGTTGTGCCCACGGGCATCCCAGCTTTGTCATGAGCAACTCATTCACCAACCAGGTGTTGGCGCAGATCGAACTGTGGTCCAAGGCAGACAACTACAAGGTCGGAGTCTTCATGCTGCCCAAGAAGGTGAGTCTGATGGGAGGGGGTGATGGGAGGGGAGGGGGGTGATGGGACAGGAGAGGGGGTGATAGGATGGGGTGGGGCGGAGTCTTCATGCTGCTCAAGAAGGTGAGTCTGATGGGAGGGGGTGAGTGAACAGGAGAGGGGGTGATGGGATGGGGTGATGGGATGGGGTCAGAGTCTTCATGCTGCCCAAGAGTGAGGCTGACAGGAGGGGGGTTAGTGTACGGGAGAGGGTCGGAGTCTTCATGCTGCCCAAGAGTGAGGCTGACGAGAAGGGGGTTAGTGTACGGGAGGGGGTCGGAGTCTTCATGCTGCCCAAGAGTGAGGCTGACAGGAGGGGGGTTAATGTACGAGAGGGGGGTTAATGTACGGGAGGGGGTCGGAGTCTTCATGCTGCCCAAGAGAGTGAGGCTGACGAGAGTGGGGTTCATGGGAGGGGTGGACTCAAACTCGATTATTTACAAGCCACTGCAATGTAGCTGGAATATTGATGACGGCAGCTATACAAATGAAATGAAGTATAACAGACAATGAGGATACAACCTGACCCCGCCCTGGACCAGGTCCAGCTCCTGACAATGCTTTCATGAAGGTTTTAAGTTTTATCAATCTCAAAATGTAGCAACTGCTTGGCAAAATGTAGCAACTGCTTGGCAAAATGTAGCAAATGCTTGGCAAAATGTAGCAACTGTTTGGCAAAATGTAGCAACTGCTTGGTAAAATGTAGCAACTGTTTGGCAAAATGTAGCAATTGCTTGGTAAAATGTAGCAAATGCTTGGCAAAATGTAGCAATTGCTTGGTAAAATGTAGCAACTGTTTGGCAAAATGTAGCAATTGCTTGGTAAAAGGTAGCAACTGCTTGGCAAAATGTAGCAACTGTTTGACAAAATGTAGCAAATGCTTGGCAAAATGTAGCAGTTGTTCAGCAAGACTTAAGTCATGTAGGACTGTATGTGAAATATTGTGTTGCAGCTGGATGAAGAAGTGGCTGCAGCCCACTTGGAGCACCTTGGGGTCAAGCTGACCAAGTTGACCGATGACCAGGCCTCATATCTCGGCATTCCATCCACGGGACCCTACAAGCCTGATCACTACAGATACTAGTGCAACATATCACCACTTCCAGAGCTCACTCACCATCAGATACCCTCACAACACACATCCTGCAGTCCTCGAATCTCATGGCGGCTGACATTGTGAAAGCCACGACTGTTGAGATTTGAAGAGTTCATTCATCACTTACAACGTAGTGTTGCTGACATGAATCTATAAAGGGTTCTGTTTTATACTGTAGGGGGGTAAACTCATCTTCCTGCGCTGTGCAGGTGAAAGGGACCGTTGTTTGAGGATTCTCAAAATACAAATTTAAGTATAGCAATATTGTGCTGAATTTTTATTAAGCAGATTGTTGATTCTTTTTGTGCTTAGCTTCTTGTTTTTCAATATTGTTGATTTAATTTGGATATCTTCAACATTCATGATTGCTCTGCAATGTTTGTATGGCATCTCATCTTTTTTTGTTACCATTGTTGTCATGGTGATGACAGTGTACAGACATATATGCAATAAAAACTGAAAATATCAAGTCCAAGATGTTGCTTTGAATCACATGTATGCATGTACGCACATGCGTATGCCACAATATTATTAGATCTATCAGATGCGTGAAGATCCGTGTTAGAATAGGTCTTCAGCAGCCCATGCTTGCTGTAAGAGTCAACCCTGCTTGTTGTAAGAGGCAACTAATGGGATCAGGTAGTTAGGCTTGCTTGGTTGATGCATGTCGTATCCCAATTGTGTAGATCAATACTCGTGATATCAATTTCTGGATTGTCCGGTCCAGACTCCCATTATTTACAGACCATAGTATATAGCTGGAATTTTGCTGAGTGTGGTGTTAAACAACAAACACACAAAACAAAGACATCTGTAACTCAGTACACCCTGTATTGTCTGATGCAATTCCCTATTTTGACTTGTATCATATATTCCCATGGATTTCAGGTGAACAATTGACTTGCCTTTGCATGTGTTTGTGATGGGTGCCACCAGTTGGGGCAGGATGCGCTCACCTTTTTGAGAACATAAATTGTGATTCATAAACGCATGCTCATTACAAAGTCGGAATCGTAAATCGACTTTATCAGCTATTTGGAAAGGGTTTTGTGGCTTTTATTTAACTTTTGATGCAGAATTTATTTTCATTGCATCATAGGTGGCATTGGTGGAACAGGCATCTAGGGTGCCACTATTGGCGGTGCAGAGTTGCGCCCCTTGGTCACGCCAGAAAGCTATGATTGTGGGTTTGAATCCCGGTTCGCCCTGTTTATGTTTATAGGTTTGTCAGCACCATGCCCGCGTTCGTTGGTTTCACCAAAGCGGTAAACGTCTGAGGCCTGCATCACTTCGGGATTTCCTCCCAAATTAATCTGACACGAGGAGATATAACTGGAATACAGTTAAAAGTGGCGTTAAACCCAACTCACTCACTCATTGCATCATATGATAACATTTTCTGGGGTATTTTGTAGATGGCATAATAATAGTATGATCCAGTATTTAAATATCTTTAACTATAGATATACATTGGAAACCTTTATTCAGCATACACCCTACCCGTGAAGATTCGGGATAGAATAGGTCTTCAGCAACCCATGCTTGCCGTAAAAGGCGACAAAGCTTGTCGTAAGAGGCGACTTACGGGATCGGGTGGCCAGTCTCACTGACTTGGTTGATGATGAAAATAGGTCTTCAGCAACCCATGCTTGCCGTGAAAGGCGACTACCGTATTTCCTCTATTAGCTGGGTATCTAATAAAAGCCGGGTCAATTGTTCAGTGCAAAAAATAGAAGCCGGGCCTCTAATAGACGCCGGGTCGATCAATTTACGATTCGGGACATTCGTGGTCATAGTGAAATGGGGGTATTTATAGAAGCCGGGCCTCCAATAGACACCGGACCTCTAATTGACGCCGGGTCAAAGGCTTGTCCGAAATAAATAGAAGCCCAGGCGTCTAATAGAGGAAATACGGTATGCTTGTAAGAGACAACTAACAGGATCGGGTTGTCAGGCTCGCTGTTTGGTTGATGCATGTTATCAATCCCAATTGCGTGGATAGATGAACATGATAATTATCACTGGATTGTCTGACCACCCGTGCCCCCCCAAAAAAAATATTTTAAAAAGCATGAACAGAAAATGCTGTTACACTGTCCCCTTACACTGTTATCATACCCCTTGAGGTATCCAAGGATATCGTCTTTCACAAACTCAGATTCAGCTCTAGTTCTAGCATTCAAGTTCCCTCTAATCATAATGTAAACATCATTACAATGTGCTAATATTTGAACTATCCTGAGGGGCAATATAAGTTAAGTAGCGGGACGACGAGGGGTATATTGGGTACATCAAGTGATCCTGTTACAGCGAATTTATCTTACCGATATGTTTTAATATGACTTTGTGAAAGAACCGAAGCGGGGTATAAGAGATTTATTTTACCGCTGATAAATGTATTTCCCACCAAGGCGGGATACATAGTATTTTATCAAGATCACGTGGACCAATCAGATCTCATCATTCTGACATGGAGCTGTGATACAAGAAATTATACATTTCTTTTGATATTATCATGTTTGATTTTGAATCGAAAATATCTTAAGTTTGCATGATTATATAAAGAAATGAAATGTGCTGGCGCTTATGTTTGATTTAAAACCTTAAATAAAGTCAAATACGTTTAATTAATCAGTGAATTCCTGATCAATTAACTTAGAATTCAGCTCCGATACATTCCAAAATGGGTTAGTCAGATGTCGTCCACATACCACAAGACAGTCAGATGTCGCCGACATACCACAGGGCAGTCATATGTCGCCCACATACCACAGGGCAGTCAGATGTCGTCCACATACCACAAGACAGTCAGATGTCGCCCACAAACCACAGGGCAGTCATATGTCGCCCACATACCACAGGGCAGTCAGATGTCGCCCACATACCACAGGGCAGTCAGATGTCGCCCACATACCACAGGACAGTCAGATGTCGCCTACATACCACAGGGCAGTCAGATGTCGTCCACATACCACAGGGCAGTCAGATGTCGCCCACAGACCACAGGGCAGTCGGATGTCGTCCACATACTACAGGACAGTCAGATGTCGCCCACATACCACATGGCAGTCAGATGTCGCCCACATACCACAGGGCAGTCAAATGTCGTCTACATACTTCATGGCAGTCAGATGTCGCCCACATACCACAGGACAGTCAGATGTCGCCCACATACCACAGGACAGTCAGATGTCGTCCACATACCACAGGACAGTCAGATGTCGCCCACACATCGCTCGACAGTAAAATGAAATACTTCTATCCAATGCGCACGTGTGACATCTGGCGAAATTGAATGAACCGGACTTAAAATATTTACAAACCATACTGATTTAGGTCGATTTTTAAATTTTATTTTATTATTTATTTTTGGGATGGTGGGTAGTGATGCTAGACTAAGACTTAGCCTCTGAAAACACGTAGTTGTTATTGTAACAAGCAGTAATAATGCTTCAGTTTGGATGTGTCTACTCGACTACTTTCATGAAGAGGTGTCTCGCTGCATTCTGAACATAATGTGTCGCTTCCATTGCGCACAAGCTTTCTGTCACGTATACACTCACAGTGTGTTATGACAGCCGACACAAGATGCACCAGGTGCCCGCGTTGCACGGTCTTCTGGCAATCCGAGCACGGAGGCCTCGTGGTGACGACTGATCATTCAAACTCATGTTATCTCACCCATCTACACCTTCATTATCGTAGCTAACTGGCTTCTACAATCAAAACACTGAAAATGAGGTGAGGTGAAATAGGGTTTAACGTCACGTCCAAGATTATTGCACTTTTATAGCGACGTACATGCACGTGTGAGTGTGTGTGTGTGTGTGTGTGTGTGTTTGTGTGTGTGTGTGTGTTTTTGTGTCTGCTTGTACTAGTCCGGATTGATGTTGCCTTATAGTGCTACCCACTGCGATACCATACCGCAGTTTAACGTTAATACCCCATTCAGACACAGTGTACTGAGTCCCAGCCGACCAGTCCTTGTGTTAGCTCCTAAATACCGACGCGCAGACAGGGTAACAACAAGTACCATCTTTTAACAGGGATCCACTGAAATGAGATCTTTTCATTCAAGGTAAAGTTTATATAATGGATTTGTTAATAAAGGTTCACTGTCTGTTTTTATAGATGTGTAACACGCTTCGTCTAAAGTTAATCTAACTAGCTACTACAATCCAAACATGGAAACACAAGCACAACACTAATACGTTTAGTTCTCCACAAATCAAAACATTATATATATAGAGGCCGTTTTGTCCATACGTGATGTCAGTTTTAACTGACCCTATTGGCCGTTTTCTCTTATGCCGTGACCGTTTTCCATTATGCAGTGTTTGTTTGTTTGATGCATTCTGCAATATTCCATCTATATGACGGCGGTCTGTATATAATCTGGACCAGGCAATCAAGTGATACAATGACATGCATCAACCAAGTCAGAGCCTGATCACCCGATCCCCAAGTCACCCCTTACAACAAGCATAGTCGCTTTTTACGGCAAGCATGGGTTGCTGAAAACCTATTCCACCCCGGATCTTCACGCGTTTTCCCTTATGCAGTGGTCGTTTTCCCTTATGCAGTGGTCGTTTTCCCTTATGCAGTGGTCGTTTCCTCTTATGCAGTGGTCGTGTTGTCTTATGCAGTGACCCTTTTCTCTTATGCATTGGTCGTTTTCTCTTATGAAGTGGTCGTTTTCTCTAATTGCCCGGTGGCCGTTTTCTCTTATGCAGTGGTCGTTTTCTCTTATGCAGTGGCCGTTTCCTCTTATGCAGTGGCCGTTTTCCCTTATGCAGTGGCCGTTTTCCCTTATGCAGTGGCCGTTTTCCCTTATGCAGAGGTCGTTCTCTCTAATTATCCGGTGGCTGTTTTCTCCAGTTCCCCGTTAAATCCAACCTTATGTTCCAACATCCAAGAATATATATTTTATAGATCCACTAAAGGAGAATTCTTTGAAAGTCTATATAAGTTTTAGATGGTAATATCGTTTACCTCTCGCATGCACATATACTGAACCACAAAAGAAACGTCACCCCAAGTAACATTGCATAAAAACTTGTCATTTAAATATCTGGGTAACTTTTGTCAAAGTTTCTAAAATCTAACATTTCCTTGTCCGGAAAAATGTAATTTGATGATAAAAAACAAAGCAGATGACAATAAAACCGATCGCCCAAACGCATCACGGCAACGGCAATGGTAACCCGATGCACGTGAGTTCCGTGCAAATTGAAATGCACATGCGTTCCCCCATTTCTTACCCTATACAAATCCACCAAGATCGGATAACATTCATTCGTTATTGAATTGCTACCACATGTCAAGATTGAAAAGAAATCATCGACACCAAGCCCTTGGATGTTTGCAAGCTGGACAAACCGCCCGGCAAGTTGCCACTACATTTCAAGTCCACGTAAGGACCATATACAGGCTCCAACAACAGTACCAAACCACCAACACTCCAGATGAC